TATATATATATACATATGCGTACATACACATACACATACATTCACATATGTATATATATGTATGTATATGTATATATGTATACACACCAGATAGGGACCAGATGCACAGGTGTGCGTGTGTGTGTGTGTGTCTGTATGTGTGTGGAGGTACATACAACACACTATCAAGCATGCTTACCTTTGCATACGCGAAGCACCGTACATACATACCTACATGCATGCAATGGCATGCATGCGCATCTGTATACACATATACAGGCACATACGCATACACATGCACACATACACACGCATCTATCTCTCTGTCTATCTACCCCGCTACTTTATCTATCTATGCACATATATATATATATAAATACAAACATACACACGTGCACACATACATACATATAGACAGACATACATAGCATACATGCCTACATACATACCTACATACTTCATACGTACACCATACATACAAGCACACATGCAGACACATTTACATTCTGTTCCAAATCCAGCGCACATGCACATTCACAGTCACGGTCACAGTCAGATTCGCACACGCACACACACACACACACACGCATCTATATATGTATATACATACATACATACATACATACATACATACATACATACACACCAACACAGACACACACACACACCAACCCAACCCAACCCAACCCAACCCAGCACAGCGCAGCACAGCACAGCACAGCACAGCACTGCACTGCACAGCACAAAACAGAGAGCAGCACTAGCAGTAGCAGGTGCCGAGGGGTGAGTTTCACGGGATGTGTGCACCGGGGCTGCTTAGTAACTAAGGCTTAATACGGTTTGGCACCTAGGCATTGGCCGGGTTAGCTTATCCCGATACTTAGGGGGAATCGGTGCACACATCCCACGAGGCAGCTTCACTGTGGAAACATCGCGATCCCACCTCCCTAAGCCCCCAAAGCGCACCCAAGCCCCAAGCCGCCAAAGCCCCAAGGCCCAAAGCACCCAAACCCCAGGCCGCCAAAGCCACCAAAATCCCAAAGCCCCAACCCCCCAAAATCAAGCCAGGCCCAGAAGATACTAGGACTGCTTTGTTTGGGTCTTTTTGTTGTACCTGCCTATCTACCTACCTTACCTCCCTACAAGCCCCAAGCCCAACCCCTTAAGCCCCGAACAAGAAGCCCCCCAACGACCCGAAGCCCGGAACAAGAAGCCCCCCAAAGTCCTAAAGACCCCGAGCCTTAAGCCCCCACAGCCGCAAAGCCCAGTCCTAACGTCCGAAGACACCAGAAAGCCCAACCCCCAAAGCCCCAACAGATGCGGGTATCCTTTTTGGATTCGGGGTTTGGGGTTTGGGGCAATGTTTGGGTTTATTGGGATTGAAGCTTCACGGGTCTCCTTTTTGGATTCGGGGTTTGGGGTCTGGGGCAATGTTTGGGTTTATTGGGCTTGAGCTTGAAGC